GGGGGGGGGGGGGGCGGGGAGCGCGTGGGCCCAAGGGGAAGGGGGCCGGCCCATTTCGATTGGCCATGGGACCCGAGCATGGGAATACCTCGATCCTCGCGAGTCCGGGGGTGCCTGGTAGGAGGTGTGCCCGGCCGGGATAATGACGGTGTTCGCCGCAGAACCAGGGGCCCGAAAGGCGTCGCCCGGCTGCCTGCTGCCCTCGCTGGCAGCTGGCCGGCCGGGGACGCACCCCGGCCGCGGGTGGTCGTCCAGTCGGCCGGCTGCCTGGATGTGCGGGGCGCCAAAATCCCAATGAGCTATCGTCCGCTGCCGGCTCGCCCGGGTCAGATGAATGGCACGCCGGTGCCCAGGCCAATGGCAAGCCGGGTCCCCCAAGTAGGGGGCTCAGGAGCACCCCCGCCCGATGGGGGAAAAAACGCCGCGGCCACGAACAAGGCCGCCCTTTATATTGTCGCCAGCATCCGGGGCTGGAAAAAAGGGAGCGCAAAGAGCCGCCCAGAACCGGGAGAAGAGGGGCGGACAGCGGGCGCTCATTTTTGGCCCTCCCCCTTCTCGGGTTTCCGGCACGCGGGCCCTGCGCCCCGCAAAAAAGTCCGGGACGTGTGTCGTCCTGGCCGGGCGCGGGCCGCTGCCTGTCCCCCAGCCGGCAGGGGGGAAGGGCGGGGATTTCGGCCTCCGGCTTGTCGGCCCTCGAAGCCGGCCCCTTTTACGTCCCTCGCCCCCCCCCCCCGCCCCGGCCCGGGGCCCGTGCCTCGGGCGCCGGTGCACCTCTCGGCCTCCGGTTCGGAGGTCGTCGCGCGGGGGCACGCACGTTGCCTCGCTCTCGGCGCCCCGCCCCCCCCCCCCCCCCCGGCGCGCGGCCCTCGGTGCCCCGGGGCGGAACCTGCCGGCCGCCGAGCCAAAAAGCAAAAGAGAAGCCCACTGTGGGGCTCGAACCCACGACCCTGGGATTAAGAGTCCCATGCTCTACCAACTGAGCTAAACAGGCATGCCTCAGGAGAGGCGCAACGGGATTTTGTAGTCAATTTTCGTTTCCCGAGCCCGGATATGGTCACGGGGTGGCATGTGACCATATCTGAGAAGTCGGAACCCCGGCTCTCCTCGTTCTGTGGGGGGAGGGGGGGACCGCGCGCCTCCGTGCAGAGAGGCCTTCGCCCCGCCCCGGCGTCTCCTCCCTCGACGCACAGGGGAGAAGAGGGGCAAGGTGCTCCTTCTCCCATGCACGACCACCCTAGAAAGGATAGTCATTGCCTCCTTGGCCTGGCTTTCTCCCCCCCAAGCCAGTAGTCTCTGATGTAAATACTTTTGCTTCCCCCAACAAGACCGCGCGCGCGCTTCATTGTCATCGCTTGCCTTCTTGTACCTCTCGAGACGAAATGCTTTCCCCCAAGGCTTGATCTCCCATATGGGAGATCAAGCCTCGGTGGGTCGGTCCGAGCGTCTCATGTAGGCACCGCGTTGGCCGGTGAGGCACCGCCGGGGCCGCGCCCCCGGCCGCCCCTCCTCCGGGACTTGCCTTGGCTCGTCGCGCTCGGTTGCTGTCTTGGCGGATGGCCCTTCCCTTTATGCCAGGCGCCCGCGACTTGGGTCGCTGACTTGCCTCGGCACGGCGCCCCTCCGCCTCCCCTGCTGTGGCCCTCGAGCCCAATGGATGTGCGGTCCCTCGCGCGGTCACCCCACAAGGGGCTGCCGTGCTTCTACCGTCCTCACAGGGGAGCTAGGCAGACGGGCCCCAAGGTCCCAGCGTCGTGGCTCCAGCCCCCCCCCCCCCCCCATGGTCAGTACCAGTGGCCTCTTGAGGGGCGGTCTCTGCTTGTTGTTCTCCCACCCGGGGAGCCGTGTGGCCCGGCCGCCTGCCCATCGCCAGGCCGCCCTCCTGTGTTGGTGGTCCTTGGCCGCCGGGGGCGTCCGGCTGCTGGCCGAGACGCCAGCCGGGCCCCGGGAGCCGCAAGCCCCGGCCCAGGGCGCGCCACAGGCCGCCACACCGCACCCGCGCGGGAGCCTGGCAGCAGTGGTCGCGCGGCCGCTTCGCCAGGCCCAGCCGTGGCCGGGCCGCCATGACGCGAAAACCACCACCCATCCCCCTGGCCACGGTGCGGGAGCACACACACGCACCCAGCCTATCAATAAACCAAGCGGGCAAACCGGCGACAGCCGGCGCCCTCGGCGGGCGCCTTGTCCCGGCGCCTCGGCCGGGGCCGGCGCCTCCGCCACACATGGGACCCAGCAGGCCCGGGAGCCGCCCCGGTCCTTCGGGAGCCGGCTGGCGGCCCGGGCACCTGCGACGGGGAAAGAAAAAGATAGGCAGCTCCACCGATGGGACCCGGTCCCGGGGGTGTTGCTCGCAAGGGCGCGGCCTGCCGGCCGTCCCCTTGCTCGTGTCCGGGGCGTGGCCCTGCCGCTGGGTGGCGATGCTTTCGGCACGCGGCGCGCCAGGACCGAGGCCTGGTGCTGGTGACGCACGCAGCCCCGGCCCAACGCCCTGTGACCGCTGTCTTCGCCGGTCCTCGCCCCATCTCGGCCCCTCTGACTCATTCTCTCTCTCTCCCTCTCTCGTCATGTCCCTCGAGTTGGGGCCCGACTATATGGCCACGCACAGACACACACACACACACACACACACACACACACACACACACACACACACACACACACACACACGAATCGCCTTACATGGAGTCGCAGGGCCGGCCTTGGCGGGACTGCTGTTCGGCCGGCGCCGGCGTCTGCTCCCCGATGGTGGCCGCGATCGCGGACGCCCCCGTCGCAGCATCCCGCATGCTCTGCGTCTGCCCGGGCCGGGGCCGGGGCCGGGGCCGCGGGGCCCCTTGCGGCGGCCCCGGGCGCATGCTTGCCGCGGTGCCGGCGCCGTGTGTCGCCATAGCCACAACCCCTTGGCAGGGGGATGGCCGCGCCCCGGATGGGCTCTGTCCAGTCACGTCGGGCCCTCGAGGCGCATGGTGTGCCGGGCCAGCCGCCCGTACGGTGCCCGTGGGCGACGGCCGGCGGCCATTGCCCGGGCCCTCGCGTGGCCGGGCTTGCAGACATGTCCACCGTGGCACCGGGCCTGCGGCCGGGGCGGTGCGACACCATGTCGGCTGCACTGCCCCGGCCGCGGCCAGACCCCGGGCAGCCGCTCGGCCTGTTGTGCCGGCCCGGGCACAAGCGGAGTCGCCCGGGCCGCGGCCAGTTGAGGCGCCACCCCGGGGCCGGTGCACCTGTGCGATCGTGGTGGGCGCCCCTCAGGCTGGGTTATGGTGTATCTTGGGCCATGGTGTTTGGAGGCCGTGGCGGGGGCCCTGCCTCGCGGGGCCGGCTCGCACGCACAGCCCGGAGGGCCGCGCGCCTCGTTGTCCGCTGAATGCGCGCGAAAGGCGCCCGAAGCGCCCCATTCCGGCTTCTGAGTGGGGAACCCGGCCGAGGCATGGGGGGGGGGGGGGGGGGGGGGGGGAGAGGCGCGGTGTCGGCATGGCCCGCTCGCGCCCCGTGGCGAGCGGACAGCACATACGCCGCGCGGCGAACCCCGGCCGAGGGGGCGCCGTGCGGAAGGCCGGTGTGCCTCGCACTTGCTCACACACCCAGGGTACACTGCTGGCGAGCTGGCCGCCCACACTGGAGAGCCGGCTCCCCCTCCCGTAGAAACTGTGCCCCTGTCGTCGATCCAGCCGAGGGGCGGACACGCATGCGCCAGCGGATGCCGGCCGGTGCAGCCCTGGCGCCTGCCAGGAACGGGAAACACCGCGTCCGCCGTGGCCCCTGCCAGCGCTGCTTCTCCCGCCACACCCATACCCACAAGGTTCTGCCGCTCTTGATGGCACTCATTATATTGGTGGCTGCCGGCCGCGAGGGCACGGCCGCGCTCGGGGACGCCTGTGTGCTCAGGCGTCGATGATGTCCATCTCCACGGAGTCGAGGCCGATGGCGGGCTTGCCGGCGCCGCGGCCGGCGGCGGCCTTCCGCAGGAGCAGCACCGCCACCGCGGCCACGACGATGATGACCAACAGGGACAGGCCCACCCCGAGGCCGATGGCCAGGGCGGTCTTGTCCCGGCCGGAGGAGGGCTTGCTGCCGCTGCTGCCGCTGCTGCCACTGCTGCCGCTGTTGCCACTGCTGCCGCTGCCGCCGCTACCGCCGCTGCCGCCGCTGCCACCGCTGCCGCCGCTGCTGCTGCCGTCACCCGGCAACGGGGTGGAGCAGTCGCTCTCACCGGGCCCGGTGCAGGCATCGCAGCCAGGGTGGCAGGGCGCGCAAGACGACCCGCCGGCCTCGGGGTAGCTGCCATTCGGGCAGGTGGCCC